TTTTTGGACTACGTAGCTCAAAATATCAAGGAAAGAGAGGGGCATGGTGAACTGAATTTTACAAAATTTTAATTAAAAAAAAAATGGAGAAAAGTTTCAATGGACAATCTCGTTATTTTAAATTCAAGAAAAAAGAAACAAACAAAGTCTTTTAAACAAAAATTGTATTGGTTTTAAATTTAATTTAACTTAATAATACTATTTTTTCATATCCAAATGCAATCCGAATTTGATTCAAATATGATATAAATCTAACAGATAACATGTGATTCAAAACCAAATATAAAGTTATAAACAGACCAAATTTAGATCAAACTTATATCACCCAAAACTGACCTGCCAAATTCAAAGTTATAAACAGACCAAATTTAGATCAAACTTATATCACCCAAAACTGTCCTGCCAAATTCAAAGTATCAATATGTATGTTATGATGTGTATCAGTTGTCAGCTAACAAATATGTAAAATACTATAAATAAGGGAGTGGGGGTGTCAACTGGACCGGATTTGGTCCAATCCAATCCAGTCCAATATGAGTACATTATAGATGAACCAGATCCAATCTAATACTTTAAACCTTTTGGGACCCGTCTAATTTAATATTCAATCTGTTCAAATTGTTTTTAATTTAGATTGGTTCCAATCAAAACCTAGTCCAATATTGACCCCTGTATTCTTATCTTCTATCAATGGATCTTGAATATTAGTTCAATCTGTCCCAATCATTGATAGGTCATGCCATTACATTTCCAAGACAAATAAAAAAGGATAAATTACAAATACCTAAAGACCCTCCATTATCTTTTGCAACAAACTCCTCATAAACTTTTAGGTTGCAACAAATACCCCTGGCTGTTAAGTCAGATAATGTGTTAAATTACCAAAATACCCTATTAAACTTTTTCTATTTTCTTTTCATTATCGTTCTCTCTTAAAACATCGTTGACCAAAAAAACTTAAATTGTAATCGTTCATTCACCGCATCAAATAACACAAACACTGCTGCCGCCACCTCTTCCTCAACTCCCACCGTGACGGAAATTGTAACAATCGGAACAAACATCACCACTGCCACCTCCGACCGACCTCCATTACCAGCAAATGGTGGTGTTTGTTTGTTCACTCCCTTCTCCGCATCATACAAGAAACCAGCGAGCAGGGTAGAGAAGATCGCCCAACTCCTGCTTCTACCATCCATCATTAGTGTTGTTAGGCCCTAGAATCTGCAATTACGCCAACTTGTACTGTGATCACCCACCGGACGACAACAATGTCGAGGAACTCGCTGGTATTGATTTCAATGGTTACCACTACAAAAACAGTAGTGGCTCCACAAACACCATCCAACAACACATGAAGAATCAAACCCTTCCAAGCTCTATCCTTCGCCAGTTGCAGAATATGAAGAAGTTGTTCAGAATGCAGAGATGTTCGTGGAAACACTTGTGGATCTTCACAGGTCGTTGGGAACTAAGTTTGTGGTACCTACCATGGGTGGGAAGTCTCTAGATCTACATGGACGTTTTGTGGAGGTTACATCACAGGGTGGTCTTGAGGAGGTTATAAGAGATTGTAAATGGAATGGAGAGATGTCATTACCGTTTTCAATTTCCCCAGCACGATTACTAACGCATCCTTTGTATTGTACATAGGAATGGCAACGGGGTGGGGCGGGTGGGGACGGGGAGTCTCTCCCAATTCCCGTCCCCGTTAAGAGGGACAAGGTTATTTTCATCCCCGTTCTCACGGGATCTCCATCCTCGTGGGGATCCTTATTCCTCGTGTTTTTTCATAATGCTAACATTTTGTTTTTGTTTTTTTTTTTTTATTTTGTTTAAAAAATAAAAACAAAATAATTAAAATTTACAATTCCATTAGAAGAGATTGTAACATATTCAACCATATTTTAAAATTATTAATATATAGATGTATGTGTACTATATATATATAATGTATGCATACATGTATACATATATATTAGTGGGGATCCCACGGGGCAGGAATTGGGACGCTCGCGGGGCGGGGAGCGCTCTTCCCACCCTGTCCCATACTTACTAATGGAGATGAAAATTTCCCCATCCCTGTCCCAACAGAAAAAAAATTATTCCCATTACTACTCTATTCAGGATGATTCCTCACGGGGATCGGAGAAATGGTGCAAGTATCATTGCTTCACCATTATGAACAGTTGTATTTCTTTCATAAAAACAGCCCTTCAATCCAGGCATCTAATTTTGTCGCCAAAAGCCCTGTTAGTTGCATAGGAGCCACACCATCTACTTGTGAGAAACAAACCACCATGGATCGGTTAGCAAAAGCTTCAAAATTGAGTGCTGGTTGTTGGGTTACTAGGATAATTGATGGAAAAATTGACAACGGATATTTAGCGACTGTGAGTTTTGATCCCAGTAAACTGAAAGGTGTCCTGTATCATGTTCCTCCTGAGTTACAGATGTCGTTGAGTTCTAATACCTCAACTGTGATGTCCTAGGGTACTAATACTTCAACTATACTTCCTCATCGGCACTAGAAAAGGTCCAGGCTGGCATTGATGGATCCCTCTCATCCTAAACCAAACAGGAGTACTTATAATTTCTTTTTTCGCTGAGTATTATGCCCGGCTGAAGCCTCTGCACCATGGGCAAGAAAAAGCCATCAGCAAGAAGTTGGTCACCTATGGAGCAAACTGAATGAGGCTGAAAAACAGGTTTATTAGGAGAAAGGATTGCATGATGCAATGCTAACGCGAAAATTCAGAGGGTATTTGTCACAAAAAATAGTGCAGGGGGTCTTTGTCACTGACCCTATTGTAGAAGGGGGGATCTTTGTAATTTACCTAATAAAAAAACCCAACCCCAAGATAAAACCTAAGGCAATTAAAAAACCCTATTTTAAGGGATTGAGATAGTTCAAAATTATTTATTGAAGTGATATTTGTATTATTGAAGGGATTGAGATATTTTGTATTATTTTTTATGTATTTTATACTGTATTATATATTTATATTTGTACTTTTTCTAAACTGAGCCTAAGGCTCTCTTTGGGAACTGTGCATATTTGTATTTGCACTCTTATGGAACAGACCTAAAGATAAAACAATAAGTCATTCAATTCAACAGTATTACCTATGATCCAGGGAAAAACTTTGGTTGTTTGGGGAACGCCGACAGATGAAAGTGCTTTTGGAACTGCCATGTTACAATGAGAGTGGGGTAAAATAGTAATTGCTCCCCATTTTTTTTGACCAAAAAATTAACTAAAAATAGGCATGAATGGATTAATGTATCCAGTCTAAAAACGCTCTCAACGGCATAAGAAAGTAATCTCATGATCTATCAGTTGAGATGGTCACTCGCATCCCTCCAAACATGCATTGCAGGATAAAATGAAACCTACATACCTGCAGACCCTCCACATGATAAGGCCATTGAATCTCTAATTCAAAACCTTGGCCTAATTTTAATTTCCCAAAACAATCAAAAGAATCCAGTTCAAAGGCTTTCGAGGCTTATTTCCATGTCGAGATGAATCCCACATAACATAGAGGTGCAATAATCTCTCAACCTCAGGAAGGGTCATTAGCTAGTAAATAATACAGAGTTAACCCAGTACTATGTTTCTCAACAGTGCACTAGTTGACACTGATCCGGGCTACAGACTGCCTAACCTGAACCTGACCCGGTTCTAAAACCTGTAATGCAGGGGGTTAGAGAGTAAAACCAAAGAATCTCTGCTAAGATTATTACCATAATTATTGGGATGAGGGATCTGCTACAAAGATGTGTATAATGGGCTACATAACCCAAGAGTAAAACATGTCAGTAAATTTTGATGCTATTCCCAAGGATCAAAATATCGATATGCATTGATACCCAATTTATCATTTATCAGTATCGGTGTGTATTAACAGATTAATAGTTCGATACTCTTATTTTTTTATTATGTTATTTTTATTTTAACAGCTCGAGAGGAATGCCTTCCACCGTCCCAAACTTTCAAAAACCCTAAACTCCTCGTATTTTGGTGTATCCATGAGTCTCCATGACCTTGGATATGGAAAGGATATATCTTATTGGGTTTATTGGTGTATTCACCAGTCTCAATGATTTTGGATACATATCATATTGATATTTTGATCTTTGATTATTTTAATACATTCAATTGAATTGAATTGTATGTTGATATATTTAGTTTACTAAAAACATTCAGCAGAGAACGAGATAATTTGCTTGTAGACCTGTTCATGGGCAAGGCTTGGGTTTAGCTTTTGTCAAAATTTGAATGGGCCTGGTCTGTGAACAGGTCTAATTGTTTGGCATCACTCCCATAATGGAGATGTGGGATCAAACCCACAAAACTGTAGGCTCTCTGTGAAAAAGAAGAAAAAGAAAAAGAAAAGAGAGATTAACAACATTTTATTGTAACATTGGGACTGATTTTGAACACAACTAGTTTCTTTTTATTTGGTTTAATTCACAGATGTATAAATTTAGAGCCAGGGAGAATTATGAAGGGGAGTTACAACAGATTTCACTTGGAGATACTTATGGAGGCCTTGAAATCCCAAATCTCTTCCAAACCCACTCATCTTATACCCTCCAAAAGGACAATCAGGGTCAAAGGCAAAGTAGCAGTTGATCCAAATGGTGCCAGCTCGAATTGATCTCGACACCCTGTTAGCCAGGTTCAAGTCCTTGGTCACAATTCCTGCTGCAAGGCCATATCTTGTGTTGTTGGCTCTCTCAATTGCTTCCTCAACAGTCCTACAATTGCATTAATTGCATTTTAGTGTCCTTGGTTTAGGCTGAAAAGTTGTAAACATGAATTAAGAGCCTAAAGCATCAAATATCAAATTTAGACTGTTGTATGAACCTGTCTAAGATGTTTCTTTGCAAATATGGCTGCATTAGGAGACGATGCAAATAAGTGTGAATGTAAATACGCAGAGTGTAAAGCATTTCATATAAATTGCAAAGTTGAATTAGTTTTGGACTGATAAATTTATCTTCATACCAAACAGACTTTTAGTTTCAATGGATGTAAACATGAATTCCAATAAAACATGCCTTTTTTTATCAAAAGCCACTTGAATGCAAATTTACTTCCTTTTTATTGATGTATTTTCACATCTTATTATCAATATAAATATGCATTGAAAAATGCATCTTCTATCATTTGTCAATACATAAAGTGAACCAGAGTGCAAATTTACCCAGAACCGGGATTTGTACTCCATTTGCATCGTTACCAGACAGCCTATGGGATCAAATTGAAAAGGAGAAAAGATCAAGCTTACTTGAACTTCATGAGAGACATCACAGGTCCAAATATTTCCTCATCCACTATCTTCATACCTTCCTGGCAAAGCCATTCACATTGATGAAGGAAACCCATTTTAATTACACTTGCTTTAGAATTCTTTACTTCCTTTCTAGAGAATCAAATGTATGAAGAGAGATAGACAAGATACAAACATTTGCAGATGTGAGAAGAACTGATGTAGTGTACCTTAGCATCTGTAAAAATTGTGGGCTCTATATAGTATCCCTTCTCTCCATGGCGTTTACCCCCAGTCAACAAGGTGGCTCCCTCCTTCTTGCCATGCTCAATGTAGGAAAGGATTTTATCAAACTGGGTCTTATCAACCTGCACCAACAATGAAGAGATCACAACCCATAAAATCTGATAGTACAATTAATTCATCAAAAGTAGTGATTATTTTTTATGGTCTGTAATAAGACCAAATGGGGCTTTATGTTTTACAGTTTACCAAACAGAGAACACTCCGAAATGTTCATCCTCTGTTGTGGTTACTACCATTGTTATGACACTAGAGTTCAAGTATCATTGTTCATTGAAAAAGAAAGAAAAACCACGGCTTTACCTGGGGACCTTGCAGAATCTGAGGATCAAATGGGTCGCCAACTGTCCATGTTTTTGCCCTTTCAGCTACTTTCTTCACAAATTCATCATAAATCCCTTCCTGAACATATACACGGGATCCCGCTACACAGATTTCTCCCTGATATTCAACCCAATCACCAAATTACAATACTGAACTAGATTTGTTGCTCTGAACTATGTACTAAGTAAGAAAAAGAAATTGCCTTGTTATACAAAATGCCGAGCAGAGCGAGATGAACAGCAGTGTCAACATCAGCATCATCAAAGATTACGAGAGGTGATTTCCCACCCAGTTCAAGTGAAACGGCCTTCAAATTGCTTGTTGCTGCAGCCTGCATAATCAACCGCCCAACTTCTGTGGATCCTGTAAAACTAATCTGAAGCCATCACAAGTAATAGAATCCAAAGGTCAGTTTCTCTGTAGATTTTACTAAAGAAGGTTGAATGGGTTTCTCTTTTCTGGGGTAACTAAACATGTTATAAGGTGAAAATATGGATTGCCTTGTCAACGTCCATGTGAGAACTAATGGCAGCACCAGCTGTGTGCCCAAATCCGGTTACAACATTGAGTACTCCATCTGGGATTCCTGCCTGGTAGAGTTGAAGAAGAAAAAACCATTAGAAAATAAATTGCAGAAAATTATAAAGGGAATACTCAACCTAATATAAACGCACCCTAACAAAGATTATTCTAATTATTAATAGTTGATTGGAAAATCAGATTTAATGCAACGGTACTGAAGTCTGAAGCTATTATTAAGAAAAAGCTTCTCTAGTCAGCATCTGCTTTGCCATATTTTTTTTGCCACGTGGAAGGATGATATGGTTAATCCAAGCCATCAACCAAGTAGGGGACCCTCTAAGTTGGCCACCTGTTCCAGTCTAAACCAATCTGGGACCCACTTAATATTACTGCCTTCCACATTGTCCACATCTGCTTAGAGAGTTAGAGCAAACGACAAACACTAAGCATATCACAGAAGATGCATTTCTGCACTTTGATGATTTACCGTAGACCTGGCAAAAAGTCGGCCCAACCGCAAACCTGACCCAAGTGACCCGAATTAGAAGGCGGCCTGACCGAAGTTGACCCAAAAAGATTTTGGATTTGGGTTGGGTGACGGGTCACCGCTGAACCACCTGTTTTCAAATCGGTGTGGACAGTTAAATCATTCAAATTGGACAATTAAACCCATATTCTTTGTAAAAGAAACTATTGACTTGGCCAAAAATCAACTGATTCAGGCAGTTGAACTATTGATTTGATTCATTTGACCGGCAGGTCAATCTTAAACCTAAATATTTAGAGTTAGGGTCTATCCATCGTTGATCCAACCCAAAATGCTGATTTGGTGATTCCCACTTCATGGGAATGGTGTTTATAGCTGTGGTATAAATACATTTGAGAAATTAATTTATGAATTCTGAGGTAAAATAGACTATAAAAAAGACCTAAAATAAATGTTAAAATACATCACTACTTCATGCCACATGTCCTCAATACTTGAGAAATGCCTTTCTTCACATTGATTTTTATGGCTCAATTATATTAATACAAGTGACACAAAGTTGTGATGTACCTAGTTTTGTTTATTTTCAGCTGAGACTCACGAAATATGCCGTTAATAAGAGATGATGAGAGAACCCACGCCACGAGGCCAATTTGGGCCTAATCAATTTGTCACCATGAAAGATTTCTTGACTTTTGGTGGGCATTTTTTTATGCATCTTGACCCTTGGTCCTTCATTTAATTCTAAGGCTGTGTTTGTTTTGGTGTAAACTCTGGGTCAGTACTTCGGTTTGGTTTTATCCTCATTTGTAGCAAAAATGTTATTCAAGAAAGTTTTTACATCGATATTTTTTAATGACTATTTTTTTTAACTCTCCTGTCGGCATTTTACACTCTCAATAAACTATCATCACTCTACTCCACCGTTGTAAAAATGATTTTATACCACAATGAAACGCAGCCTAAAGAATTAAATCAGGATCTAACTTCCAACAAAAAATGCATCGGAGAGATTTTCTCAATTCACAGAAGGTACGGGTGAGCAAAAAAAAAAAAATTCAAAAAATCGAACCAACCAAAAAAATCAACCGAAAATTCAGTTAATCAAATAGGTCAGTTTGGTTTTGGTTCAATATTTTAAAAGACCAAAGGTATTGATTCAGTTTTGGTTAATTAAAATAAAAAACCGGTGGTTAATTGAACCGACCGATATACATATATTTATATATTTTATATATTATATTTTATACTTTATAAATTAATATATATGCATTATATATATATATATATTTATAATATATAATATATTATTTATTATTTAAAATATAACATTATATATATTTCTACTATTTTATTATATATTTAAATATTTTTCTATAATAAATATTGTAAATAATAAAAAACCGAACTGACGATTAACCGATCAGCTTCAATAATTTCAAAAATTAGTCCACGATTCGATTAGCCCAACTGTGAGCACCCCTAGGGAAGGAAACTGCTATCAATAAAATGCTTCTAACAGTGTCCCAACAGGCCACTGGAACTGTACATTGAAAACATTTATCTTGTCATTCATGGGGAGATTTCCCAATATATATGGGATTGGCCAGTTAGGACATCTTAGAACTTAGGAGCATATTGTTGGTAGCATATACGAGCTCTCAATTCAAGGCTGGTTACCATTTAGTACGCTTTGCTGGCAGTGAATCCGGCTTCAAAAGAATTTAAACTGCATTAAACCAAAGCCTGGGCCCCTTCAAATTAGATCAAATGCTCAATCTGAAGCCCAAGTTGCATCCCTAGTGACCAACATACCTTCTTTAATGGGACACCAAAAATAACTTTACCAATACAAGTGAAAACCTATGTTTTAAATATTGGACTGGAAATAGAACCATTTTGGCTATTAGTTTTTGGGTCAAACAGTTCAATCATCCGGTTCGAATGAATAGTCCGTTCTGATTTAAAAAATAAAAAGTTAAAATAAAAAAGGTTAAAAACTATTATCTGAATTGATAGATCGATAGTTCAACCACCTAGATAAACAACTAAGTCAACAGTTTTTTGCCTAAAAACGGCTTTAAGATGAAACAAAACCAATTGCCTGGATGATTTCCGGGTCAACCAGTTCGGCCGTCCAGTTTTCAAAACTATGCTAAAAACTTAATAAACATACCAGCTTAGCCAAATGTGCATAATAGAGAGCTGAAAGTGGAGTCTGTTCAGCGGGCTTCACTATCATGGTGCAGCCAGCGGTCAAGGCTGGGGCAACTTTGAGGAAGAAGATGGTGGATGGGAAGTTCCAGGGTGTGATGTGCCCTACAACACCAATGGGCTCAAGCAACGTGTACGCTTGATACTCATTTGCCATTTTTAGTGTCTGTCCATGGATTTTATCCGCAGCCCCTGCAAAATAACGGAGAAGGCCTGATACTCCTGGTATGTCCATGGCCTTGCCCATACTAAACAGCTTTCCTGCATCAATGGTGTCAAGTGCAGCCAATTCCTCTATATTTTCATCTATCAAGTCTGCCAATTTCATCATTATCCTTCCTCTTTCCTGGATCAAGAAGAAAAAAAAGATATTATTGAAACTACTTAAAGTTAATTAACATAAGATTAATAATATGCAACTTACTCAATCCTGGCCGGACCAAACAGAAAGGAATGTTGTTAGACTAAGTTCAGACAGAAAACCAGAATGATAATTGAAATATTGATTTGTGAATACAGTGTAAAATTTTTTTGGACTAAAATTACCTTCTATTTCTTTATTTGATAAATAGTATAAATGTCATTTTATTATAGTTTTGGTGCATGCTCTAATGGCTACTATAGTAGTCATATTTGCGTATTTAACCAATCTCAGGGTTGAAAATGTAACTTCAATTATTACTTTCCAACTCATTTAATCCCCTCTCATTAAGTCTTATACTTAATGTATTAAATATCATTTTTTTATTAAATCCTATGTTTTTAAGTTATTTTTCACTAATAAATGCTACTAATTAAATCTACATTAATATTTTTAACAATATAAACCCATGTATTTTAAAATCATTCTTTATCTAAGCATTTCAACCATCCAAATCAATTTGATCAACCTATGAAGTCGTAGTTAGGTAATAAAATTTGTAAAATAGAAACAAATATAGAAATTTATAAAAAATTAGACACATTTATGATATTTTTATTAATAAAAAAATAAGTATAATAAACATGAATTATTTTTATTGATAATAAAAATGAAATACATAATTTAGAACTAACCAAAAATGAAATATAAAAAATAATAATAAATAGTTCAACTTTTGGGTTTGGGTTAAATGTGTTAACCTTTAATGCCATAAACAAATAATAAAAATTAATAAACTATAAAAATATAAAAATAAAAAATACATAAATTTTGTAAAAAAAAGCATTCACGCACATTAAATAAGAAGTAAATATAACATATTAAACAAGAAGTAAATATAACATATCAGAATTATTTTTACACACAAAAATACAAAAAAAAAATTATATAGAAAAAATTGAACACATCTATAATTTTATATGGAATTGCTTTGGCTTCTGGTTTTCGGATTAGCGGTTCAATTGTCTAGTTTGAGCGGGTTAAACCAGTAAGATGTAAAATATAATGTAACTTTTTTTTTTACCATTAAATTAGGATTAGGTTAAAGTCCACAACATATATACATTATTATGAGAGGAGAGTGTGAGACTTTGGGGAGGCAACCGGTAAAATCTGAGAAGTGAAAAAAAAAGAAAAGAAAAAGAAGAAGAGAAGAAAACATTGCTGGAGGTGGTTGTCACCATGTTCACATTGTTATTGCAAAACTGTTTTGCCCTAAGAAGAAGAAGAAGAAGAAAAAGAAACTGCTGATAGCAGTTATCTTTAGGAGTGGAAGAGAGTGGTGACTTAGATCTGTGCAGGTTGAATGAAAGAATGAAGGATAGAATCATTGGATGCTCAGATTTTAGATTGTGGAAGGGAGCGGTGACTCATATCTATACAGGTTGAAGGAGAAAATAATGGATGGGATCGTCGAAGGGTAAGTTAGTTGGAAACATAGATCGTGGATGAGAGTTGTGACTCAGATCTATGCAGAATAGGATGGGTTCATCAAGGTCGTGATGATATTAGAACTGGGCATTGGAAATATAGGTAGAGGAGAGAAAGTTGTTCCGATGTTTTGTGAATAATTCTCAGACTGAGAAGAAGAGAAGGGAAGAATCCATGGAGGCAAAATTACATCCACAAAACATAAGGAAATTTGCACAGGAAGGATTGATCGGTTGCTGAAATTTTCAAATAAGAGTGGTTGCTTATCGTGGAAAATTTGAGTAGATTTTGAGAGAAGTCAAAGGTCAGATCGGTTATACTTTTTTAAAAAATTTAATAATTTTCTGTGTATCTACAATATTTGCTATTTTGGCTATAAAATATATATTTTTTTTATAATTTTTGTGTTTTTATATTATTTTGAATTTTTATCAATTATGTATTTCATGAAATTAGAATAAAATATATAGTTTATCAATTATTTTGTTTTGTTTTTGATTTGTGGATTTTTTATAAAAAAATGGAATTTTTATGGTTTTTTAGTTGAAATATATAGTTTTATGTTTTTTTATGCAATTAGAATAAAATACAGAAAAATAAAAAAGAAATTTAATTTAAATTAGAGATCAAAAGGGTGAGTCATTTACCCACTTTGACCCACTAACATGGGCTGCAAATGGGTTATTGGGTCAATATGGGTTGGTTGGTATTCTACCCAACCCATCCATTTGTCACACTAGTTATCTCCATGTTTATCATCATCGCCACTACAACATTGTTTGCTCTCTTCTTACATCTCTTTCATCTCTCTTTCATCTCTCTCAAATCCCATATCGCTTGTTTCATTAGTGTACCTTAGCTTTTAATATAAGATTGATGTTTAATCTCTCATCTCTTGCATTGATTTTTTGATTTCTTCATTGGAGTTTCAATTTTTTTTTTGATATTGCAACTTAAAAAGAATCATAAAATAAAAAAAAATCAAAATCAAAATGGAAAAACTAAAACCCTAACTAATTTTGGCCATTGGGAATAATCGAACAAGATTATGACATATGAAAGTTTATTTTTTCAATTTTTTTTTTATTTTCTAATTTCTATTTTAAAATAAATAAAATATTTGGGATTAGTTTGAAAGCAACTCTAGAACCATTAACTGGGTTGAACATTTTAATGGTTAAACCATCCAAGTCAGCGGCTATCTAATCATTTCAGCATTTTTTTTTGTAAAATAGCGGATCAAGGTCAAAATGGAACTAGTGACTTGACTAGTTCCCGGGCCAAATAGTTTGACTGTCCGGTCTTGTCCAACTTTTAATACATTGACTAAAATACTCAACTTTGAATTTAGTCTCTATTTAATTGTAAGGTTTAAATTGTAAATTGAACTACTACTTTTCACCTCACTCAATTCCCTCAATTTAAATCTTATATATTTTTTTTGATAAATGAACAAAAGAAAAAAAGATACATTAAAAAGGTAAAACACTACAAAAAGAAGAGTCTAGCCAGGGAGAATGGCTTGTCAATGATACCTGAAACTTTACAATTTGATCTAATTATCACATATTTGGATAAGGTGTTTATATAATCAGATTTGGATTTTGCAATCTGCATCTGATTAATAATAAAAAACAAAAAATTATAAGCACAAAAAATAAAAACAAATAAAATTTATAAAAAATTTTGGATATATTATTAATATAATTATCATCATCTAGAATTTGTCACATGCAAAACATGTGTACGTGATTTATATGATATATGTATATACACATGTTATGTATGTATGTATAAGTATATCCTACATGTTATATATGTATATATATATATGATTTATATTAGATCTAGTTTATATTTTTATTTTAGTTTTTAATTTTTATAAATAAGGAAAAGATAAATATTGAATTTTGAAGCAAGGCTCTTTGAGAGGAATTCGGCTTCAGTCAGGGCAAAGCCCATTCGAGTAGCCTTTACTGCCTTGCATTAAGAATATCTCTATACTTATATACTTTATTTCATGGGGAGATATTCCCAATGCAAGATTGCAAAAGGCTGTTAATATGGTGTGGGCACAAGTTTGCCCTGATGGAAGCCGATCTCCTTTGAGAATGCATGGATCTTGAAAAGTTATCTAAAAAAAGTGATCATCCCAATTGGACAATTGAGCCTTGACAATACTTGAAGGTTGAGTCAAATAGGCCAATGGTTCAATTGCCCAGCTCAATGGGCCTTGACCAAATCAATGGTTTTAACCAATTTGCAGATTTGAAGTAAATCGTACCCAACAGCGAGTTGAAAATATTAATCCCAACTATATCAGATCAGATAACATGGATCTTTTCTCCATTCCATTCTATTCAGTGCCAATTTAACAGGCTGGAAATCATCAAGGTTTAGTTTAACGCGTTCCACCCCGGTATTAAATAGATGAGGCCCCAGTGGGGCTCATGAATTTATTACTGGAAAAGCGTGCAGCTAATCCGAATTCCCGGTATTAATTCAAAAGTCAAAAACTTTTTCGTAATGAAAGTTCACTTACCTTAAACTATGCTGGGAGTAGCTGATTTTTAAGTTGTTTTAATGCTTGTGGGACCAATCAATTTGCGCCACGCCATCCATAAAGTGGATATGGGCCACCACTCCTCAATTTTTTTGGTGTAAACGGATTTCAAGCAATATCTGAATTCAAATTTAATTAATAAAATTATATCAAAATTTGATTTGATATTCAGCACATATTAAAAATTAATATTTGAATGTGAATTCGATTAAATATTTAAATATTCGATTTGATTCGAATTCAACCAATTAATTATTTTAGGTAATTAATAAATATATAAATAAATATTTTATTTATATAAATATATAAATTATTTATATAATTTAATTATTATATATAAATTATATAAACCATTTAAGTATTTTATATATTATATATAAAAATTAAATAATCGGTCGAATTCATATATTTATTGAATTGAATCAGATCACATCCAAATTCGAATCCAATTAATTTTTCGGTATGAATAAGATATCTGAATTTGACTGATTAGATATTCGAAAGATCCAAATTCGATTCGATTATATCGAATCTCGAATTCAAAATCGAATTTTCAAATACCATTAATACTCCTACTTTCACTTGCACTTATGGCCGTTGTGGAACAAAATGATTGGTTCTACAACTAATAAAGCACCTTCTAATCCGTTTGCCAAATGGGCCCAATCGTCATCTCTTCATTCTGCATTGTTATTTTATGTTTATATCAAGGTTTTTAAAACTGAACCGAACAACGAACCGGTCAAGAGTTCCCAGCTCAAATAGTCCAACCATTCGAACTGAACGAATGGCCCTTTCTGACAAAAAAATTTGAAAAAATAAAAAACAACCAAACCGTTGGATGATTTGAACGGTTTGACTGCCCAAGTCAGCAGTTTGCTAACCAAATCTGTGGTTTTTGGCAAAATAATAGTTCTGGGGTAAAATGGAACCGGTCGCTTGACCCGTTCCCAGTTTTTCCGGTCCAGCTTTGAAAGCCATGATTTATATATGTTTTCATGTCTAACAAAAAAATCCTGGGTTATAGAGAAGAAAATGAAGGTAAAGAGCCCATTTAGTTGTTAAGTAGGCTAATACGTGAATACAAAGTTTTTTTTTTTTTTCTTTTCTTTTTAAGAAGCTTAGGGCTCGTTGGGTTAGGAAATAGAGGTCTGGTATCGTGTCCGAATTCGAACCGTTAGGGTTGGGTGGAATTGGAATCCTATTCCCATTTCTAATGAAATGGAATTCCTCCATTTCCATTTGAGGGAACGATCATTCCCTCCTCCTTCCTCCCTTGGTAATGAAAATCCATTTCAGTCGATTCTTATTCCAATTCTGGTTCTTGTTTGAATTCAACAAAGGTGTAAATGTATGGCCCGTGGGCCATTTTAGGCCAAGTCTCTCTCCCTTGCGATATTTTGGCAGGTCGGCCCGGCCCACAGCCCAAGCCCACATGGGCCTGTGCCATGCCATGGGCCAAGCCCTAGGTCCAATCGGGTCATGGACCTGATCAAAGTTATTTATTTAAAAAAATTAAAATTTTTATTTTATATGAATTTTGATGTATACAATTATTTATATATACAATAATTAAATAGAATAGTATAATAAAATTAAAAACAATTGTTTATTTTATTAATAGTATAATAAAATAGTATATATATATATATTCAAACTATGAACCAAATGGACCCTTAAATCAGATTTGAAGAGATGCTGAGAAAACGTTTCAGATGTTTGGTTTATGTAGCATTTGCAAAGAGTACGCTTACCAAAAAAGGAATTGCAAAGAGTACAAGAAAAAGATTATAAATGAGGAGCAAACTAAGGAAGAAAGTTAAACAAGAGGAGAGAACTCACGGAGCCAGGCATGCGAGGCCATCTTCCATGGTCGAAAGCTTCTCTTGCAGCCTTGACGGCCAGTTCGACATCTTCTTTATCTCCTTGTGCAACTCGAGCTATCACTTCTCCCGTTCGTGGATCAATCGTCTCAAATGTTTTCCCTGTTCAGGTTTTCCGACACACATTAACGATCAAACAATAATTTAACAGGCACAAGCCAGATCAATCGTGTATATATAATTGATTTGGCAATAGAGATAGAGAAGATAACACCGACGACGACGAGGATGCACCAAAAACAATTTCTATGAGTTTTCACTTGTAAACATCCATCGCAATCTAGTGAATTCAGAGCATCCAAAGATTAAGAAATGAGAGCAGACGTTCATTCAACTCTGTGTAATTTCTCCTTTGGATGAACAAGAATGAGCTCAATCTGCCTCCAGAAGTGTTTCTTACTTCCAAAAGAATTATGGAAGAGACGTGTCTGGTAAAAAGGACTAAAGGAGCTAATCTCGAGATCAACGTCATGCAGAAACCAAAGAAATACTAAGATAAAAATTCACGGCAGGGGAAAGTTCAAGGCTCAACTAAGTATAGGCACTTGTTCTCTCGGCGGATCAGAAGTAACTGAGAAACAAAAAGGAAGAAGACGAAGAAAACCAATTAGGAGATGTAAACCTGAGACGGAGTCCACGAACTCTCCATTGATAAACAGCTTCGTGAACTTTATTTTCGGGATCTTGATGACATTTTCTGCGCTTCCATTGCTTTCACCTGCCATCCTTCTCTCTCTCTCTGTTAGAGGTTCTTCTCAGTTCTCTCTCCCTCTCTCTCTCTACTAATCTGCGTGTAAGAAGGGAGAGGTTCTTCTCTCCTTTATAAAGAAAATTTGTAGCCCGCTGGCCTACGCTGATTTTTTATAAAAATTAGACTAATCAATTGATAATTAAATATTTTCAAATGAGACGCAATGGAACAGCTCCATTTTCTTATGGGTCTTGTACACAGATATCAATTGGCCAGCTCGATCAGTTCGGGAAAAGTGCAAAACCTTTGTATTTCGTATTATAAACTTTATATTTATACTGTACAGTATTTGTATTCGTATTATTTCTGAACTGAGTCAAAAGATCGAAAAACATGACACCCAATAATACCCTTTATATTTTCACAAAACAACATACCCGCCATTCCATGACAGATAGACATCAGACATAGCCCGTGAAGCTAGCATCTTTTATATCCTTTTGACTGGTAGCCTTCGTTGTTGGATAAATCTTTCTCTTTTGTAACCTTTCCACCTATTGGGTGCCAAACGAGCCCAACTCATTTTTGAAGGGGCCGGAGGGGCTAGAAACAAAGTGGGCTATTCAAAGTTTCTCATAAGGTATAAGTTCGTGTGGGGCCATTCATATATATAACTCTATACTGATGTGTTCACTCTGGATTGATTGCTTAGTCTATTTTGTTTCTCTCAAATATCAATTAGGGCTGGACTGAAACTGTGAATCATGGCCTTTGATGTATTGATGTAGCTCCATCTTAAATTTGATGAAATGACATAATGTGGGGTCGCGGCGATACATCGAGGCCGAATACCATGATTTGACGAGCTCAGCGCAGATTTCTCCTCCTTATTAGCATCTGGCCCATCTGGAATCTTTTGAGGGGGTTCTTTAATTTGGCTAAAATTGATGGATGATTGGGAGGCATTTGATTGCAGCTTCTATGGACAGATAATAAGAAAAAAAAAAAAATCAAAGTCAATGGTGCTTGTGGTCGTGCCGAAAGAATTTTTTTTTTCTATAAAAAGTCAAATTTCATTTGAATCTTCAATAATTGAACAAAAAAATAATTAGCATATAAAGACGATAAAAAGATGAGCACCATACATTAAAATAGAGATTTGAAACGATTCTTATATGTATTGTTTCATATGCATGTGGGCATTGATTGGATCACCAATAAAGTATTAATTTGCTAGTAAAATGAAAAACTTTCCAACATTTACCAATAAAGTATTAAGAAAGCCCTACCCTGTGTGGGTAGATTACATATGAGTCTTATTCCTCATTGGACTGGCAAAATCTTCCAAAAGTCTTCATTCAATTCATCCTTCTATTTATGTTCCAAGTTTAATTTTGGATGAGTTTGAATAGAATATGATAATAAATAAAACAGCATAAGTAGCTTTATTTTATTATGGAAGTTGAAATATAATAAAGTTTAAGGAGAGTAAGGCGCCATTTGGGAAGAGTGAATACAAATTGTTGTGTTGTGCATTGAGTTCTTATTGTGGCATGTTTTATGTTCTGATTCTAGATCCAATCCATTTTTCAGCTTATGGGTCTGACCTGAATTCATTGTGTTATGTTGTTAGGAGGTTTTCTCTTTTATACACATCTTTTTGGCTTGCACAAAAAGGTAGTGCGAGTTTTTGAGAGAGTACTGGGTTGTATTGAAGTTCGAGGTTTTATGAGAGAGAATTTGTTCAACCTTGTATTCTCTACTAACACTCCAGAGTTTATTTCTGCTCTTCCTTCACTTGTGAGCATAATCTATTAGCTTAATCACACAAATTTGTATGCTCTCTCTGATATTTTTTTTTCTTGTTTCTCTTTCATCTTTGTTTTATTTCATTTTCGTATGCCATTTGAATAAGTATTTTTTAATCTTTTGGTTATATTCAGCACAAATACGAAATGCTTTTTTTTTGTATTTGCACAAAACATATTTGAGATGCGTGCACTTAACATATTTGTACAAGGATCTGATACACCAATACACTTGGGCACTGTGGTCTACGTCCATAGTAGAGTTCTGAAGAAAAATCCACTATGAAAAGTACTCCAAGGGAAAAGTTACACCACTTCTTTATCCTTTTTCACATTCACCTTTCTTCTTTTTCACCATAGCCCTACCTCTGCCCTATTTTACATGCTCTCTTCTTCTGGCTCAGTTTGGAGAATTGATATCTATTGACCTCAAAGCCATATCCTATCATGTATTAGGAACATCTTCCATGAATAACAATATACAAGTATAAAAATATTCCTAATGTGCGATTAGTACATGCTGTACAGGTATGAGGAGCAGATCCCGACTCCAGTTTAGAAAGAGTATGAGCACAAATATGTACACTGCAAAACCATATATATTTGCACCGTACATATTTATATCCATACTCTTTCCAAATTGAACCTTTTATTCAAAAGTAACATTATTCCTCATTTTCCATATATGCTAAACCAAGGTAATTCCATCTTGTAAAGAAGTCTTTTAACATATACGCTCTCAATACTGTCCCAACAGGCCATTACAGTTGCATATCTCTCATAAATAAGAAAGGAGATGTTCCCACTGCAACGGCTTTTGTTAGAGTATTGAACCGCGGTGACATGGCTTTGCGTGCCACATCTTCTATCATTCCATCGATCTGAATTCTTCTTTTCTTTGATAGGTGAAATGGGGTCAGGGTCAGGCCGGTTGGCCCAAGCACCCAACTCCAGAGGGACCACACCTGCTGCATTGTAATTTTGGAGTTGATTATTGGCCACGTACGACGTCATAAGAATTCTCAACCATGCATTATTAAAATATGTGACCAGTCATGGACCGGAACTTGTTGCTTGGCCTCACTCAACTTTATTGTATGGTGGAGCGATTTCTTAGGTAACTGATTAAGTGTTCATACAACGTCAATTTTTAATTCCAAGGTGGAAAGGTAATTGGGATTTGGGAACCTCTCTTCTTTGTTGGTTGTCATTCTCATCTGCTGTCATCAAAGTCTGATTTTGGGAGTACTGCTTCAATTGATTTTTTTTTTCATGTTTTTTAAATTGGATAAATCAAAAGCCAATCAAAAAACCGTTTAGTGAAAAAGCTCAAAGTGGGTTTTTGCATATGAAAAAGTGGAGAAAAAATTCCATTTATCTTTTTAGTTTTGCAAAAAGCTATTTTGAACAAAAAATGAAAATTATCCAAAAATCCCACTTCAAAAAGTGACTTTTTTCTTAACAACCTTAGAAAATGAGGGGTGGGGGTATATCCAGTTTTTCAAAACGCCCATTTTAAAAACACTGAAGGGGTGTTTGACAATACGATTGATTTACAAAATCACAAAAACAAAATCAATCATCTTGTTGAACACCCCCTAAAAAGCACTTTTTAAAAAACAAGTTTGATTTCTTTGTCACTAGTTTTTATCTAAAAAACTTCAGCCTCCTCTAACATTTCTGACCAATTAGCAGAATTTCAAGGATTGCCTTAATTTAAATGTCTGAAGAAAAGACTTCTTAGTACATTAATCTACAAGGATCTGGCTGTCTAATTAATCAAATCAGCAACCTTCACCGATGTTTTTAAAAATAATTGGGAAACTAGAACCGTTCTGGCCATTGGTTTTCAGCAGATGGTTTGATCATGCGGTTCGAATGAATGATCTGTTTTGACAAAAAAAATTAAAAATTAATTAAAATAAAAAACGACCAAAATTATGGAACGGGTCAATCTGATCGACGATTTGACCACCCGAATTAATGGATCATTGACCAATTCAACAATTTTTTACCAGAAATCAAGTTTAAGGTAAAATAGAATCCATTACCTAGATGGTTCCCAGGCTGAACGGTCTGACCATCTGGGTCAATGGTAGTTTGAATACATTGACTTTCACCACAGTATGACACTAGAGCAGGCATAGGCCTTGGAGATTGAATCTTGTATTTTGGTAGACCCGGAACTTAAGACCCATGGCATGCTTGGATAGAGAGGAGCTTGCTTGCATCATGATGTTGTAATTGTGTGTGTAGAATTCCAAGTTTTTTTTTTAATGCATAGAAAAAGAAACATCAATCGCCAATACCCACTACAGCACATGATTGTTGCTCTTGGTTTAGACTTTGGGGGAGCAGTTGAGATTTAATCTCAATATAGTTTTTTGGATTTTAAAAAGTAGCTTTCTGAAATTTGAATTTTCTCACCAAAACCTTTAATGGTCATCGACTAAAGTAGTTAACTGACATCACATTCATTTAATTCAAATTCATGATTATATAAAGAGTCACTTTATAAAGACTTAGAAACTTTACAAAATGATTTTTCAATTTTCATAATCTATAAAAGGGATATAAGTAGTCAAGACGTTTTTACACAATACATACACAGAATTCCTTGAAGAATTTTCAACTTTATTGATGTAGTTTATTTTACTGGTGGCTTTGTTGAATCTTTGTAAAACATTTTTTAGTACTGAATGAAGATTAGTTTAGAGCCATTACAGTGTACAAGATTTGAATTAAAAAAAATACAAGAAACTGGTAGAGATAAGTGTAACAGTAGCATAAGGATGGCATGATTATATATTGTTAATTAGACATTAGAACAGAGAATGTTCAAGTGGGAGTTTGAGATTGAGTAAGAATCTTCTCCCAGACAGCCCAAGATACAATTACTCACACCAACCTCATAATGCCTCCCAGCCAGACATCAGAAATTTTTTCCTTACTTTGTGTTGTTATTCATACGGAGATGTTCTCTATACACGGTGGGATAGGGTTGTGAAGTTGGTGTGAGGTGTGCTTTGTGAGGAGCAAATTCTGACTTATTCATTGATTGGCCCAGCCTATTTTTGGTTAGTTTTATTGGACAAGATTTTAGGCCTGCAGGTTATAGCTCATGCCCAACTTTTTTCAGTCCAATTTCGGACTTTCTGAAAAAATCCTGCCCAATTCTGAGTACGACTTGCTAATGCTTTATATAATAAAAAATATTTTATATAATAAAAAATATATAATACATATTTTTTC